AATTTCTGTTGTTAGTTTATCATTTGTTGCCATGCTCCTGGGCTTCAGTAATAGAGGGATGGAATCAAAATCACATGAAGTATTAGTATCATTCATAAAACCTTAGTAAGGCCACATTTGGAATATTGCATCTAGTTTTAGTCACCATGATATAAAAAAGGGAAAAGTGTGCAGAAAAGAGCAAGAAAGATCTAGGGGACAGGAGGCTAAAATATCCGATGAGTGGGTGCAGGAACTGGGTATGTGTAATTTAATGCAGAGAACGGCTAAGGGTGACATGATAGCAGTCTTTCAATAGTTGAGGGGCTGACGCAGAAAAGGGGGTCGACCTATTCCCCAAAGTGCCTGAAAGTAGGACAAAAAGTAACAGAGGGAGAATTAGTAAAAAAAATCCAACCTAGAACTAAGAAGAAATTGTCAGTGAGAACAATTAATCGGTGGAACAAATTGCCTCTCAACCTGTGGTTGTTCCATCAGTGGAGGCTTTTAAGAGGAGACTGGAGAGCCATTTGACTGGAATGATATAGGTTCTCCTGCTTGGAGAGTTGGTCCATTCCAACTCTTACTCTGTAATTCTGTAAGAACTTGGCGGTCAGATGGGCAGCTTCTGCGGCTACAAAGCCGTCAATACAGTAGCTGCATCTGTGGTTGATCCTTAAAGGAGTTAAAACCATCAAGTACTGTATTGCTAGAAAGGATTGAGGAAGAAGAGAAGCACAGAGGTACTTCCTGTACCGGATCACTCACTGGTGGAAGGTGGCTTGCAAAGCGGCTTTTGTGCTCTTCCAAAAGTTGAAGCATCCGCTGGAAGGTGAGTTGAGGGCAAGTCGGAGGAGAGGCTAGTAGCAAGTTGAGCTGTTTGGTTCGGGTGTGGCAACCGGTGCACATTTATGATGGTCGGAACAACCCAGTATCATGATCCCCATTTTTGACCTTCCCAGTTAGTTTCTCAGAGGCAAAATCAGTGGGGATACTGGCAAGAAGTTGCAAGTCGCAGCCATGTGAAGTTGCCTAACAACCCAAAGTAATTTGTGTAACAAATGCAGAGGAACAGATGTAAATTGGCACACTAACAGTGGTGGGTTGCCCCCGGTTCGGACCAGTTCTATAGAACCGATAGTAAAACTGGCGGGAAGCTCGGTCCACTGACCTGGATGTCATCATAAGTGATCTGCGCATGCGCAGAAAAGCGTGTGTGCGAGTTAAGTACGCACGCACACGGGCACAATACAAACCGGTAGTAAAGGTAAGTAGAACCTACCCCTGCACACTAAGCATGTGATATCATGCTTACTGATCGGGCTGCTTAGTGACACAGTACCAGTCCCAATTGCAGACAGTAAGTGAGGACTACTTGCATAGGGATGTCACCAGAGGGGTTCTGGATGGTATTTTCTGCCCTTAAGCAGTTTCTGTGGGCAAAACTGGTGCTTCAAATGTTGCAGAGTCTTTTGGCATCATTTCATCAGTTCAAGCCCCACATCTCTAAAATTAGCTCAGAAGGTTTGACTGTTTGGGGACATTTTTTTAGACTGAAAACACACAGATTTCCCACATGTATACATTTTTAGCTGTGTGTATTTTTATTTCTGTATACCTGCAATTGGATAATCTATCCCCAGCACTTTCAGATATGCAGTCATGTGAAAAAGGAAGTACATCCTCTTTGAGTTCTATAGTTTTACATATCAGGACATAGTAAAAAATCATCTAGTCCTTAGAAATCTTAAAAGTAGGCAAATACAACCTCAGATGAACAACGACACATGACATATTACATGTCATAACTGGTATCTTTGAATACTGTTCTCTAACTTTCTCCCACACTACATAAGAAATAAAGCATTTCTTATTATGTAGTGTCTTTGAAAGTAACCATGTATCTTACTCTTCCCATATCAAAAGAAGGCATGCCAAGCCAACCCAGTTGCAAATCATGTCCCTCCAGTGTTAATAATCTTGTGTTTTTCAGTACAATCCATTCTTTCATCCATGTTAACACCGCTGCCTGATAATATAGTTCCCAATTTGGTAATCCAAAACCTCTAATTCTTGCATCCTGTAACATTTTAAGTTAACTCTTGCTTTTTCCCCCTGCTAAATATATTTTGTTATTATTTTATTAAGGTCTTCAAAATATTTTTTCTCCAATCTTATTGAAATTGTTTGAAATAAATATAATAACCTTGGTAATATATTCATCTTAATTGTACCTATTCTTCCTGTTAACAATAGTTGCAAATTTTTCCATTTTTCCAAATCTGTCTTAATTTGTTGTATCAGTTTATAGTAATTATATTCCTTAATTGTTACAAATCTTGCTGTTAATTGAATCCCTAAATAATTTACTTTCTTTGTAATCTGAATATCTAGTTTCGTCATTAACTCTTTTTTCCCCTGAAATATTCTTCACTAAGATTTTAGTTTTTTCTTTGTTTTATTTTCAGATTTGCCACTTCACCATACTCTTCTATTCTTTTTAACAGTTTTAGCCCTGTTTCTTGCGGATATTACATGTCATACTGTATTTTACAAAAAGAAAGCCAAAATGGAGAAGCCATATGCGAAAAATTAGCACTTTATGATTCAGTATCTTGAAGAGTCACCTTTAGCAGCAATAACTTGAAGTAATTGTTTTCTGTGTGACTGTATCAGTCTCACATTGTTCTGGAGGAGAGATTTTGGCCCAAAGTTTACAACATTGCTGCAGTTCGTTGAGGTTTGTAGGCATTTGTTTATGCACAGCTCTCTTGAGGCCCCACCACAGCCTTTCAATCAGGTTGACGTCGGGACTTGGACTGCAATTTATTTATTTATTTATTTATTACTCACATTTATAGACCGCCCTTCTCCCGAAGGACTCAGGGCGGTGTACAGCCAAGGTAAAAAACATAAATACAAACATTAAAAACAATTTTAAAAGATATATATAAGTTTGGCCCCAAGTTAAAAAAAACAGTAACAAAACATATTTAAAAAATGTTTAAAAAAGTGTTAAGCCAGCCCGGCTTGCTGAAAAAGAAAGGTCTTCAGGGCACGGCGGAAGGCACCGAGGTCTTGAATTCTTCGTATCTCTGGGGGCAGTTGATTCCAGAGGGCAGGTGCCCCCACAGAGAAGGCCCTCCCCCTGGGGGCCACCAGTCTACATTGCTTGGCCAATGGCACCCTGAGGAGGCCCTCTCTGTGGGAGCGCACTGGTTGGTGGGAGGTCGTTGGTGGCAGCAGATGGTCTTGAAGATATCCAGGTGCTATGCCATGGAGCGCTTTAAAGGTGATAACCAACACCTTGAAGCGCACCCAAAAGACTACTGGGAGCAAGTGCAGCTCACGCAGGAGAGGTGTTATGTGGAAACGCCATGCAGCTCCCGTCACTACCCGCGCGGCCGCATTCTGGATCAGCTGGAGTCTCCGGGTGCTCTTCAAGGGGAGCCCCATGTAGAGAGCATTGCCGTAGTCCAGGCGAGAGGTGACGAGAGGTGAAAAAGAAAAGAATTGCAACACAATTCTTTTCTTTTTCAACCATTCTCTTGTAGATTTGCTGGGGAGCTTGGGATCATTGTCACATTGCATAATCCAATGTCAGCCAAGCTTTAGCTTTTGGACAGATGGCCGCACATTTGACTCTAGAATACTTTAGTATAGAGAGGAGGTGATAGGCAACTCAGTGACTGCAAGGTGTCAGGGTCTTGTTGCTGCAAAACAAATCCAAATCATCACCCCTTCATCACGGTGCTTGATGGTTGGTATGAGACGTTTGTGCTGAAATGATATGTTTCATTTTTATCAAATGTGGCACTTTGCATTACAGCCAACCATCTCCACTTTGGTCTCACCTTTCCAAAGGACAGTGTTCCAGAAGTTCTGTGATTTGTTCAGATTCAACTTTGGAAACCTCAGCTGTGCTGCTATGTCCTTTTTAGAAAGAAGAAGCTTTCTCCTGACAACCCTTTCAAACAAACCATATTTCTTTAGTCTTCTTGTAATTGCATTGTCGTGAACATTAAATTTTAACATGCTAAATGTGGGCTGTAGAATCTGAGATGTAACTCTTTGATTTTTTGCAATTTCTCTGAGCATTGCATGGTCCAACCTTGGGGTGAATTTTCTGGGAGTTCTGTTTCTGGGAAGATTGGCAGCTGTCTTGAATATTTACTACTTCTGAATAATCTTCCTCACTGTAGAATGATGGATTTTAAATTATTTGGAAATGGCCTTATAAACCTTCCCAGATTGATGGGCAGCAACAATTGCTTCTCCAAGATCCGCATTGATGTATTTACATTTTGGCATTGAATTAAGACACACCTCAATGCCAGAGACCAGCAAACTCCTACAACTTCGGCTTTTATAGATGTAGTCACACTTGCTGATGATAATTGATCAAGAGCATTTGCTTAGCAGCAATTGGCTGCTACTTCATCTCTTCATATCTATGGAAGAAATAACAGTGTTTTTAGTTTCTTAGTTTTTTGCGTCTCCATTTTGCCTTTTTGTAAAAAAAATGATGACATGGGTGTAATAGGTCATGTTTTTTTTATAAAAGTTTTTTATTTTATAGACAAACATAAAATACATAATCAATCAGTATATCATCTGAGTACAACTTTTGTGTCTTCTTCCTACTCGTCCACTATTTATCATATCTTAATATTATCATTTCATTTATTATAACATTTCTCCCACATTTCTTGCTTTTCCATTAATACATTTATCTATCTTCTTTCTCTTCTTTATTCTTCACTCATTTCATTACATTATTATCCTATATATTTCTCTTCTCTAACCAATGATAAAATTGTCCCCAATGTACCTTAAAATATTCCAATTCCTCTTTTTCTTTAATTGTCAAAGTCAATCTATTCATTTCTGCACAATCCAATATTTTCTTAATTACTTCTCCCTCTGTAGAGATTTTCTCTGCTTTCCATCTTTGGGCAAATACTATCCTCGCTGCAGTTGTAATCAAATATGCATTTTCTTTACTAAATTTCTCTGGTAAGATAATATGTCATGTGTTGTTGTTCATCTGAGGTTATATTTACCTACGTTTAAGAACTGCTAAGAACCAGATAAGTTTTATTATGTCCTGATACATAAAAATCATAGAACTAAAAGAAGGTATTCTTTCTTTTCCACATGACTGTATTTGATGATAATCCTTTACAGGGCTCAGAATTTGTGACTGACCCAAGTCAACAAATGAATTTCATGCATGAATGGATATTTGAACTTGAATCTCGGAAGTCAAATTAATCATAATTAATGTAAGAGGTTATTCAAGCATTGTGGCATGTTTGCTTTTCATTGTAACATATACAGATAGTCCTCAATTTATGACATTAATGGAGCCTGCCCATTCATGTCGGAAGTCGAGAACTACATTAAATTAAGCAGCCTTCTCTGGACCCGGCTGTTTTATCAAACTATCGTCCGGTCTCCAACCTTCGCTTCGTGGCGAAGGTTGTTGAGAGAGTGGTGGCGCGACAGCTTCCCCAGTACCTGGATGAAGCGGACTATCTAGATCCGTTCCAGTTGGGCTTCAGGCCTGGGTATAGCACTGAAACGGCATTGGTTGCATTGGTAGATGATCTCTGGAGGGCTCGGGACAGGAGTTGTTCCTCTGTCCTGGTCCTATTAGACCTCTCAGCAGCTTTTGATACCATTGACCATGTTGCGTCGGTTGGAGGGCTTAGGGGTGGGGGGCACCGTGAAGACTACCTGACGGCTGTGGCCAGGGGGGCTTTTTATCAGGTTCGCCTGATCTACCAGTTGCGTCTCTTTCTGGAACAGGACGCCTTGCACACGGTCACTCACACCCTCATCACTTCCAGTCTGGACTACTGTAACACTCTCTACATGGGGCTCCCCTTGAAGAGCACCCGGAGGCTCCAGCTGGTCCAGAATGCGGCCACGCGGGTGATTATGGAGGCGACTCGGTGCTCCCATGTAACACCGTTCCTGCGCGAGCTGCACTGGCTCCCAGTGGTCTTCCGGGTGCAATTCAAGGTGTTAGTTGTCACCTTTAAAGCGCTTTATGGCATGGGACCTGGATATTTACGAGACCTCCTTCTGCGTCCAATAGCCTCCCACCGACCAGTACGCTCCCATTGAGAGGGTCTCCTCAGGGTGCCGTCAGTTAGACAGTGTCGACTGGCGACCCCCAGGGGGAGAGCCTTCTCTTTGGGGGCACCTGCCCTCTGGAATGAGCTGCCCCCGGAGATTCGTCGGATTTCTGACCTCCGTACCTTCCGCCGCGCCCTTAAAACGCTATTATTCCATCAAGCAGGACTGGCCTAAAATATTTTAATGGGTTATTGTATTTTAGACGTTTGGCCAAACTATTTAATAATTTTAAAATTGTTTTTAACTTTTCTATTGTTGGTTTTATCTTGGCAGTACACTGCCCTGAGTCCCTTTGGGAGAAGGGCGGTATAAAAATTTAATAAATCTGAAACTGAAACTGAAACCTAACTAACAACCTCCCTCCTCTCCCCAATGCATCTGTTAAACAAAGGTGCAGGTCATTACCTAGATCATGGGGTGACTCAGGGATGGGAGAAACCAAGGGAGGCCTATTGTGGGCACAGGCACTCCCAGGAGGCTTCCTCCCCTACCCTCTAGGATATCCAATGCTCTGCCTCCTGCTCCTTGGTTTCCCCAAAGCCATGTGGGCCTCCTCTATACTCCACCCCATCACCATTCGCTTACTTAAATTTTGATGAACTCAGGAAGTCAGAGTAGATAACCTATCTCTTAGGCTTTTCCTTCCTAAAACAAGGTTTGTGTAGTCCTTAGGTCTAAGTCCGACCCACCAGGCATCATAGCCTCCTCCTCTGCACCTTTTGAAGATCTCTGAACCTTACCTTAGAGAAGGAGGGTAGGACGCACATCTATGGGCTGCATGACTGTATCATAGAATCAGACGTTATTTTCAGTGTGCCTGTTATTCATCCCTGGGCCATGTGGTGGACTTGTGGAAGCAGCTGCTATTTTTCCATAAATGCCTCAGGGCCAAAATGGCAGCTGCTTCTGAGTCATTGTCCTGCAGGAGAGGGATAAGCTGCACTTTATTTCTACCTTAACACTGCAGACCGCATGAATGAATTGTAGGTGCAGTGAAAACCCTAACCCTCTGGATATCCGATGCTCTGCCTCCTGCCGCTTGATTTCCACCAAGTCATGTGGGCCTCCTCCATACTCCACCCCATCACCATTTGCTTACTTACATTTTGATGAGCTCAGGAAGTTAGAGTAGAGAAAGCCGCTCCCTCTGTGGGCCACGTGGCACAATCAAGAAGAAGAAATCCAATCTCTTTTGTTTCCATGGCAATCCTTTTGCCCCAGCCAGCATAAACTACTATGATTTCCTCTTAGCTCTGCTGGTGCTAGTTTTATGCAGCTGGCGCTAAGAAGATACCATAGTGGTTTAACCTGGCTGTGGAGGAAAGGAGTGGCATGGAAAAAAAAGAGAAGGGGTTTCTTCTTTGCTCTACCAGCATAAGACTAGCGTAAAGCTAGCATTGATAGAGCAAAGAAGAAATCCGATCTCTTTTGTTTCCATGGCAATCCTATCCTCCCTAGCCTAAGTAAGTGAATGATGACACGGGAATGGGGTTGGGGAGGAATGCCTAGAAGCAAAGATATTGACAAAGCAGGCCAATCTACTGGGGTCTGGGGCCTCTGCGGACTTACCGGGCAAGATGGGAGAGAAATAGGTGGGTGTTTGTGCTGTAGCATCTCTGCAGTTGGTCGTAAGGCTGAAGGACTATGGGGGGCGGGGGGACTGCAAAGTTTCAACTTTGAAACTATTGATATTTATCATGGGGGGGGGGTGTTGTAACTTCAAACATTTCTTGAATGGCCTGTTGTACCTCAAGGATTGCCCATGCTACCTTTTTTCACATCTTCTGCAACCGTTTTATATAATTTACACTATCATTTGAATCTTACAGACAAAGATGATGCCAATATAAGCACACTGGACAACAAGCAACATTGAAAAGCAAAGCAAATTGCAACAAAATAAAAATATTGTTCATTTCCTTCAGAAAGCCACACAATTCGTGGCTATTGAGGGAAAAGCACAGAGTCCAAATCACAGAGGATCCACACTGGAGAAAAGCCATATAAATACTCTGAATGTGGCAAAAGCTTTGGTCAGAATAGCTTCCTTGTGATTCATAGAAGGATCCACATAGGACAGATGCCCTACAATTGCACCCAATGTGGTAAATGCTTTCGCAAGCATGGCAACTTTGTGATACATTAGTGGACTCACACCAGGGAGAAACCATACGAGTGTTCTGATTGTGGGAAAAGTTTCCGTTACGATTTTAACATGGTGAACCACCAGAGGATTCACACAGGGGAGAAACCGTACAAGTGTCCAGAGTGTGTGAAAAGTTTCAGTCATAGTTCCAACCTTGTGAATCACCTGAGGACTCACACAGGAGAGAAACCCTTTGAATGTCCTGAATGTGGGAAAAGCTTCAGTCAGAATTCCCACTTAATGAAACACCAGATGACACATACAGGTGACAAACCCTTTGAATGTCCTGATTGTGGGAAAAGTTTCAGTTACCATTTTAACCTGGTGACCCACCAGAGGATTCACACAGGGGAGAAACCGTACAAGTGTCCAGAGTGTGTGAAAAGTTTCAGTCAGAGTTCCAACCTTGTGGATCACCAGAGGACTCACACAGGAGAGAAACCCTTTGAATGTCCCGATTGTGGGAAATATTTCAGTCAGAAATCCTCCTTAATGTATCACCAGAGAACTCACACAGGAGAAAAACCTTTTGAATGTCCTGATTGTGAGAAAAACTTCAGTCTCAATTCAAGCCTGCTGATACACCAGAGGTCACACACAGGAGAGAAACCGTACAAGTGTCCAGATTGTGGGAAAAGTTTCAGTCAGAGTTCCAACCTCGTGAATCACCTGAGGACTCATACAGGAGAAAAACCCTTTGAATGTCCCGATTGTGGGAAAAGTTTCAGCCAGAACTCCAATCTGGTGAACCACCAAAGGACTCACACAGGAGAGAAACCATATGAGTGTCCAGATTGTGGGAAAAGTTTCAGTCAGAACTCCAATCTGGTGAACCACCAAAGGACTCACACAGGAGAGAAACCATATAAATGTCCAGATTGTGGGAAAAGTTTCAGTTATCGTACTAGCCTTGTTATACACCAGAGGACTCACACAGGAGAAAAACCTGTTGAATGTCCTGATTGTGGGAAAAGTTTCAGTCAGAATTCCAACTTGAGGAAACACCAAAGGACTCACACAGGAGAGAAACCCTTTGAATGTCCTGATTGTGGGAAACGTTTCAGTCTCAATTCCTACCTGGTGATACACCAGAGGATTCACACAGGAGAGAAACCCTTTGAATGTCCTGATTGTGGGAAATGTTTCAGTCAGAATTCCCATCTGGTGATACACCAGAGGATTCACACAGGAGAGAAACCCTTTGAATGTTCTGATTGTGGGAAACAATTCAGTTGGAATTCCCACCTAGTGATACACCAGAGGACTCACACAGGAGAGAAACCCTTTGAATGTCCTGAATGTGGGAAAAGCTTCAGTCACAATTCCCACTTAATAAAACACCAGATGACACATACAGGAGACAAACCCTTTGAATGTCCTGATTGTGGGAAAAGTTTCCGTTACCATTTTAATATGGTGAGCTACCAGAGGATTCACACAGGGGAGAAACCGTACAAGTGTCCAGAGTGTGTGAAAAGTTTCAGTCATAGTTCCAACCTTGTGAATCACCTGAGGACTCACACAGGAGAAAAACCCTTTGAATGTCCTGAATGTGGGAAGAGCTTCAGTCAGAATTCCCACTTAATAAAACACCAGATGACACATACAGGTGACAAACCCTTTGAATGTCCAGATTGTGGGAAAAGTTTCCGCTACCGTTTTAACATGATGAATCACCAAAGGATTCATACAGGTGAGAAACCGTACAAGTGTCCAGAGTGTGTGAAAAGTTTCAGTCATAGTTCCAACCTTGTGAATCACCTGAGGACTCACACAGGAGAGAAACCGTTTGAATGTCCTGATTGTGGGAAACATTTCAGTCAGAAATCCTCCTTGGTGTTTCATCTGAGGATTCACACAGGAGAAAAACCTTTTGAATGTCCTGATTGTGGGAAAAAATTCAGTTGCAATTCCAGCCTGCTAATACACCAGAGGACACATACAGGAGAGAAACCATACAAGTGTCCAGATTGTGGGAAAAGTTTCAGTTACCGTTCTAACCTGGTGAGCCACCAGAGGACTCACAGAAGAGAGAGACAATATGAGTGTCCAGATCAGGGGTGTCAAACTCAACTTCATTGAGGGCCGCATAAGGTTTGTGGTTGACCTTGTTGGTGGGCGTGGCTGGGGTGACCTCTCATGGCCAGCTTGACATCTCTTGTGCCTTGGGTGCTTACGATGGCCCAGGCAGGTCTGGGGTGTCTCCAGGAGAGGAAACCGAGACAATGGTTCTCGCCATCCCTCTCAAGCCACGCAAAGGACCCCCGGAGAGCAGCGCCGGCTGTCCAGAGCCCTTGGAGCGCAAGTACCCACCCTGGCCCTCGAGCTCCCACGGTACTGGGACCCCACAGTCCAGCCCTGCTTCCCCAAGTGGGTGCCCGGCTGCGCTTATCTCCTCAAGGCTGCTGCTGCTGTGCTCACTCTCCTTGGGCATGTTGCTCATGGTGTATGCAGAAGGACAAAGTGTGTGGGTCAGAGGAAGGCCCACTCCCTCTCCCTGCCAGGAGACCCAGCTTTGTAACCAAAGCATCCTCATCAATAGGATGGGAGACCATGAAGAGAGGTCAGAAGGAGGGGACAAGAGAATGGCGAAAGGGCAGCAGGGCAGCTGGTGGCCAAGTGCTTAGGCAGGATTTCCCTCAGAATTTGACTCCCTCTCATTATAACCTTTCCTTTCCTTTCCTTTCCTTTCCTTTCCTTTCCTTTCCTGGAAAGGAGGGCGGGACACGTATCTTTGGGCCTCATGACTTTGTCCTAGAAGCAGCCGTTATTTTTAGTGTCCCTGTGATTCATCCCTGGAGTGGACTTGTGGAAGCGGCTGCCATTTTGCCACACCAACTTCAGGGCCAAAATGGCGGCTGCTTCTGGGACATGGTCATGAGGGACAAGGAGAAACTGCTTTTTTTGTACCTTAACACTTTAGACCACATTAAGGAATTGTGGGTGCACTGAGAATGTCAGCTGCCTCCAGGAGATCTTCAATAGGTGGGATGGGTAAAAAGTGTGTGGGTAGTAGGCCCAAGGCCTAGGTAAAAAAAATAATGTAAAATTTCACATGTAAAGGCTGTTCCACCTTGCAGATCAACCTTATGGAGATGACCTCAATATTGAGTTGAGAAAAGGGATCATGGTTTTGCTGTGAGTAAAACCATATCTCCAGATTTATTAGCAACTCCTGTGTGCTCTTGATGATAGCAACACTAAGATGCTGGCATATTTGTGGTACCCGCCCTGGTTGTGGCAATCTGAGAAAAGGAATGTACAGTGGAAAATGTTTCATTTTTAAAAATGCATCATGTAAGAACTATCAATAACTTTTTACAAGGAAAAAAGGGGTATTATCAGTATTGCTGTGAACATTATGGCAAGGCAAGACACTTATAGTTGCCTCAAACTGTGTGATGAATAGCGAATAAGTTTATAAATAAATACATTTAATAATAAAAAGAAAACCTTTTTCTCAACTCTTGCTTGGTGGCGAGATCCCCATACATACGGTTGTTCCTAACTCACTGTAATTGTTAAACTAGCTGTAATCTGTAATCTACCTATATTTGAGGTCCCCACAGATGGAGATAGCGAGTAGACAAAAATGTTTTGAAAAACCTGGGGATGAATTCCTTTAACGTGGTCATCTTAACATGACTGGGTGCTTTTGACCATTTCACATTACAATGGACCCTCCAAAAGCCACTTGAGACGCAAATTCAAAGTTCCATCATCCCCACATGGTACCTGTGGGGATGACATGACTGCATTTTGGATGTTCAACAGCTGGCTCACATTTACAGCTGTTAGCAGCAGTTTATCATTGTGACCTCAATTTATGACATTTTTTCCTGCTAATTGGTGTTTACTTCTGGCAAGAAGTGCCCCATAGCAAATAATGGGTTTGTTTAACAACCACAAGGTATACTTAATGACTGCCACAAAAGTCATAAAATTGGGTCTGGTCATATGATAAATTGTTTTACGACCATGATAACTTACAACCGAAATTATGGGCTCAATTGTGGTCATAAGTGGATACCTGTAATATGAAAAAATGTTGCATTTTATTAATTACGCTCACAGAGCGAAGGTGGATAGAGGATCCGGTTCCCAGGCGTGCTTTAGCTTTTTGATTAGTGTGTGGATTCCCTGTTGATTTCAAGCTTTAGGGGACTGGTTTTCTTGTCTGCTGATCGATTGAAGGCATCCTACGCTGGAATTCTTTCCCACTATTTATTTATTTATTTATTTAAATTTATATACCGCCCTACTCCCGAAGGACTCAGGGCGGTGAACAGCCACAGGATAAAACACATAAATACAAAAATTTAAAAATAGAATACAAACGAATTAAATAATTTGGCTGAACAAATTTAAAATACCCCATAATTTAAAAACAAATTAAAATTTAAAATTTACATTTAAAAAGGGGAGAAGATTTAGGCCAGGCCAGCTTAATGAAATAAAAATGTCTTAAGCGCATGACGGAAGGTGCGCAGATCCGGGATCCTCCGTATCTCCGGGGGGAGCTCGTTCCAGATCGTAGGTGCCCCCAGAGAGAAGGCTCTCCCCGTAAGGGCCGCCAGTCGACATTGTTTTGCCGGCGGCACCCGGAGGAGCCCCTCTCTATGGGAGCGTACTGGCCGGTGGGAGGCTATTGGTGGTAGCAGGTGGTCCCGTAGATAACCAGGTCCTAAGCCATGGAGCGCTTTAAAGGTGATAACCAAAACCTTGAAGCGCACTCGGAAGACCACCGGGAGCCAGTGCAGCTCGCACAGGAGAGGTGTTACATGGGAACTCCACGTCGCTCCCATAACCACCCGCGCGGCCGCACTCTACACCAGTTGGAGCCTCCGAGTGCACCTCAAGGGGAGCCCCATGTAGAGAGCGTTACAATAGTCCAGACGAGAGGTGACGAGGGCATGAGTGACTGTGTGTAGAGTGACTGTGTGTATCAAAATCATACGCTAAAAAACAGTGTTTCTGGATGGGGCAGGGGGAAAAAAACTCTCCACTTTGCAGTTGTTCTCCCTTTTGGCCAGTATAAGCAAAACTTTGTCAAATTCCACAGGTACCAACTATAAGACTTTCCATTTCTTCAGATTTCTTTCTTCTAGTGTGTGAAATCTTCCTGTTAGCTGCCTTTAAGGGTGATGCACAACAATCCTTGGTTTATGTGTGAATACACAATCTCCAAATCTTGTCAGGTGTGTCAGAAGAGAACTTGCTGAGGGAACATACAATCTCTTTCCACCAGGCAAAATTACAGGTAGTCCTCAACTTATGACCACAATTAAGCCCCAAATATTTGTTTTTAAGGGACACATTTGTTAAGTGAATTATACCTCATCTTATGACCTTCCTTGCCACAGTGAATCATTGCAGTTGATAATTTAGTAATATGGTTGTTAAGTGAATCTGGCTTCCCCATTGATTTGGCTTGTCAAATGGTTGCAAAAGGGGATCTCAACTGACCTTCGGACACAGCAACGGTCATAACTATAAATCAGTTGCCAAGCATCGGGATTTTGATCAATGTTCATAGGGATTCTACCAAGATTATTAGTGTGAAAAAGGTCATAAGTCACTTTTTTCAGTGTCATCATAACTTTGAACAGTCAGTAAATGAACTTGTAAGTGGAGGATTGCCTGTATTAGCTTAGTACCTTTCCAGATGCACTGTTAAGATCTTAACATCTGGATAGCTTTTCAATGACCAGGATTAAACCAACATTTTAAATGCAGGTAATCCTCAATTTACAACTGTAATTTAGTTAATAGAGCCAAGGCAGTGGTGGGCTGCAGTAACAGAGGGATAGAATCAAGATCACGTGAATTATTAGTATCACTTTATAAAACCTTAGTAAGACCACATTTCCAATATTGCAACTTTTTTAATGATTTTTTAAAATACAAATAATACAAACATAGCACATATTACATCTAAATACAAAAAAAGAAAAACAAAAGAAAAATAAATAAATATTACAGTGCACCCCCATCCCCTGGAGACCATTCCCCCCCCATATTTTATCGTCTATAACAACTAAAAGATATACAATATATTCCAACTGTGCCCTTATCACCTCCAAGACAACATATATTCTTGAGTAGGTTTATTTGCCTACCCTTTGCCTTCCACCAACACTGATTTTATAAAATCCCCCCCCCATTTCATTATAATTGTTTGCTTTGATCATCCCTTTTTTGAATTTAATTTCTGTTGTTAGTTTATCATTTGTTGCCATGCTCCTGGGCTGCAGTAACAGATAAAATCAAAATCACGTGAAGTATTAGTATCGCTTGATAAAACCTTAGTAAGGCCACATTTGGAATATTGCATCCAGTTTTAGTCACCCTGATATAAAAAAGGGAAAAGTGCGCAGAAAAGAGCAAGAAAGATATAGGGGACCTGAGGCTAAAATATCTGATGAGCGGGTGCAGGAACTGGGTATGTGTAATTTAATGCAGAGAACGGCTAATGGTGACATGATAGCAGTCCTTCAATAGTTGAGGGGCTGACGCAGAAAAGGGGGTCGACCTATTCCCCAAAGTGCCTGAAAGTAGGACAAAAAGTAACAGAGGGAGAATAAATATATCTATATATCTATATATCTATATATCTATATATCTATAGATATAGATATAGATATAGATAGATAGATAGATAGATAGATAGATAGATAGATAGATAGATAGATAGATAGATAGATAGATAGATAGATAGATAGATAGATAGATAGATATCCAACCTACAATTAAGAAGAAATTGTCAGTGAGAACAATTAATCAGTAGAACAAATTGCCTCTCCACCTGTGGTGGTTCCATCAGTGGAGGCTTTTAAGAGGAGACTGGAGAGCCATTTGACTGGGATGATATAGGTTCGCCTGCTTGGAGAGTTGGTCCCTTCCAACTCTTACTCTGTAATTCTGTAAGAACTTCATGAACATTTAGGGCTCAGCATGTAGCTCATCTTCAGAAGCTTAACTAGCTTCACATTTCACTCTTTTACTTGGCTCTGTTGCAAAGATAGGTTGCAATTTGATAGCATATAATCAGTGATATCTTGCAAACGCCTTAGGCAGAGACGGGACAAGCGTGTTTTCCCGCCTCCTGTGGGGCGATGGCGGTCACTTCTGCGCCTAACAAAGCCGTCAATACAGTAGCTGCATCTGTGGTTGTTCCTTAAAGGAGTTAAAACCATCGAGTACTGTATTGCTAGACAGGATGGGAGGAGAGGAGAAGCGCGGACGAACTTCCTCTTCCGGATGGCTCGTGGGAGGAAGGTGGTGTGCAGAGTAGTATTTTGTGCTCTTCCAAGGATCAAAAGCATCGGCTGGAAGGTGAGTTGAGGGAAAGTCGGAGGGGGCAAGTTGAGCTGTTTGGTTCGGGTATGGCAACCGGTGCACATTTATGATGGTCGGAACAACCCAGTATCATGATCCCCCATTTGTGACCTTCCCAGCTAGTTTCTCAGAGGCAAAGTCAGTGGGGATATACTGGCAAGACGTTGCAAGTCACAGCCGTGTGAAGTTGCGTAACAACCCACAGTGATTTGCGTAACAAATGCAGAGGAAGAGATGTGAATTGCCACACTAAGCACGTGACATCATTTCCCGTGGGCAAAGCTGTTGCTTCATATCTTGCAAAGAGGCTTTCGGGATCATTTCATCAGTTCAAGCCCCACATCTCTAAAATTAGCTCAGAAGGTTTGACTGTTTGGGGACTTTTTTTTAAAGACTGAAAACACACAGATTTCCCACATGTATACATTTTTAGCTGTGTGTATTTTTATTTCTGTATACCTGCAATTGGATAATCTATCCCCAGCACTTTCAGATATGCAGCCATGTGAAAAAGGAAGTACATCCTCTTTGAGTTCTATGGTTTTACATATCAGGACATAGTAAAAAATCATCTGGTCCTTAGAAATCTTAAAAGTAGGCAAATACAACCTCAGATGAATAACAACACATATTTTTTTAATAAATATTTCATTTTATTTTAATACAAACAATTTATTTAATACATTAATTTAATACATCATTTTAATGTTCCATTAAATAGTGTGTCGTCTGGGTACAAATGTTTTGTCCAATAACAGTTAAAATTTACAATCATATTCATTATTTAATATATTCTTAGCTTAATACCAATCCATTAAGTATCTAATACTATAAAACAATAGCAGCAGTCCTCTTCTTGATTTATTTGACTCTATTAACTCTATTGACTTTATTAATACATTTTCTATATTTTACTCATCTACTTTTATTTCTAATTTTTATATTTATTCTCTAACCATCGATAAAATCATTCCCATATAGCCGTGATGGCGAACCAATGGCACGAGTGCCACACAGGTGGCACACAGAGCCATATCTGTGGGCACGCGAGCATTGCCCTAGCTCAGCTCCAGCGTGCATGCGTACGCCAGTCAGCTGATTTTTGGGCCTTTTGGGCCCACCAGAAATTGGGAAACGGGCAGTTTCTGGCCTCCGGGGAAATGGGGCAGGCCATTTTTGCCCTCCCCAGGCTCCTAGAAAGCCTCTGGAGCCTGGGGAGCGCAAAAAACAGGCCTACAGGGCCCACCGTGCCGTCGTGTGCCAAAAGCAGGGGAAGCGCCGGGGTGGGTGGGTAGCACATGCATGCATGGGGGGCGGGCACATTGAATTATGGGTGTCAGCACACGTGCGTTCGACCCCCCCACACTCCCCCCCACTTTTGGCACACGATGGCAAAAAGGTTAGCCATCACTGCCATATAGTGTAAAAATCAGTTTGTTGTTTCTCTTTAATTGCCAGTGTTAATCTGTTCATTTGTGCACATTCTAATATTTTCCTAATCACATTCTCCTCTGTAAGAATCTCTTCACTTTTCCAGTTTTGTGCAAATACAATTCTACCTGCAGTTATTACATGGATAATCTAATATACATTTTCTTTGCTATAAGCTTCTGGTAGAATCCCCAACAGGAATATTTCAGGTTTTAAGTCAATATGTTGTTGTATCATCTTTTCCAACCACGTGTGTATTTTTAGCCAATATTTTTTAGCTTCTACACATTCACCACCTATGATAATATGAGCCAGGTGTCTGGTGACATTTCCAACATTTAGCTGATTTATCTTTGAACATCTTTACCAATCTTGCCGGTGGCAATTGCCATCTATAAAACATCTTATACAAATTCTCTTTATACATAGTTGACATTGTTAGTTTATAATTTCTATCCCATAATTGCTGCTATTTTGCTAATTCCATCGTATAACCAAATTTTTTTACCCAGGCTATCATTCTTTCCTTCACTTCTTGTTCTTCTAGCTTAATACTCAATAAATAGCTATATGGTTTTTTTATCATCCTCTCTTCTGTTCCTGTTAATATCTTATTTGTCATGTCCATATAAATATAATTTAGCATCTTTTTCATACCTGGATTGAATTTGCAGTTGTGTATACCAAATCATATGAATCCCTTGTTTTTCTAATTCTTGCTTAGTTTTGGGCTCTCCCGTTTCAGTCAAAATGTCTTTATATTTAACAATATTTCCCATGTTGATAATATTTGGATGTATTAGTGCTTCCATCATCGAAAGCCAAACTGGTATCTTTGAATACTGTTCTCTAACTTTCTCTCACACTACATAAGAAATAAAGCATTTCTTATTATGTAGTGTCTTTGAAAGTAACCATGTATCTTACTCTTCCCATATCAAAAGAAGGCATGCCAAGCCAACCCAGTTGCAAATCATGTCCCTCCAGTGTTAATAATCTTGTGTTTTTCAGTACAATCCATTCTTTCATCCATGTTAACACCGCTGCCTGATAATATAGTTCCCAATTTGGTAATCCAAAACCTCTAATTCTTGCATCCTGTAACATTTTAAGTTAACTCTTGCTTTTTTCCCCTGCTAAATATATTTTGTTATTATTTTATTAAGGTCTTCAAAATATTTTTTCTCCAATCTTATTGAAATTGTTTGAAATAAATATAATAACCTTGGTAATATATTCATCTTAATTGTACCTATTCTTCCTGTTAACAATAGTTGCAAACTTTTCCATTTTTCCAAATCTGTCTTAATTTGTTGTATCAGTTTATAGTAATTATATTCCTTAATTGTTACAAATCTTGCTGTTAATTGAATCCCTAAATAATTTACTTTCTTTGTAATCTGAATATCTAGTTTCGTCATTAACTCTTTTTTCCCCTGAAATATTCTTCACTAAGATTTTAGTTTTTTCTTTGTTTTATTTTCAGACTTGCCACTTCACCATACTCTTCTATTCTTTTTAACAGTTTTAGCCCTGTTTCTTGCGGATATTACATGTCATACTGTATTTTATAAAAAGAAAGCCAAAATGGAGAAGCCATATGCGAAAAATTAGCACTTTATGATTCAGTATCTTGAAGAGCCACCTTTAGCAGCAATAACTTGAAGTAATTATTTTCTGTATGACTTTATCAGTCTTTCACATTGTTGTGGAGGAGAAATTTTGGCCCACTCTTCTTTACAACATTGCTGCAGTTCGTTGAGGTTTGTAGGCATTTGTTTATGCACAGCTCTCTTGAGGCCCCACCAGTTGGGTTGAGGTCTGGATTTGGACTGCAATTGCAACACAATTATTTTCTTTTTCAATCATTCTGTTGTAGGTTTGCTGGTGAGCTTGGGATCATTGTCCCATTGTATAATCCGATATTGGCCAAGCTTTAGCTGTTGGACAGATGGCCTCACATTTGACTCTAGAATACTTCGGTATAGAGAGGAGGTGATAGGCGACTCAGTGACTACAAGACATCTGGGTCCTGTCGCTGCAAAACAAATCCAAATCATCACCCCTCCATCACCATGCTAGACGGTTGGTAAGAGATGTTTGTGCTGAAATGCTGTGTTTGGTTTTAGTCAAACGTGGCACTTTGCATTATGGCCAACCATCTCTACTTTGGTCTCTGTCCAAAGGACAGTGTTCCAGAAGTCCTGTGATTTGTTCAGATTCAACTTTGGAAACCTCAGCTGTGCTGCTATGTCCTTTTTAGAAAGAAGAAGCTTTCTCCTGACAACCCTTTCAAACAAACCATACTTCTTTAGTCTTTTTGTAATTGCATTGTCGTGAACATTAAATTTTAATTGCTAAATGTGGGCTGTAGAATCTGAGATGTAACTCTTTGATTTTTTGCAATTTCTTTGAGCATCACAAGGTCCAACCTTGGGGTGAATTTTCTGGGAGTTCCGTTTCTGGGAAGATTGGCAGTTGTCTTGAATATTTACTACTTCTGAATAATCTTCCTCACTGTAGAATGATGGATTTTAAATTATTTAGAAATGGCCTTATAGACCTTTCCAGATTGATGGGCAGCAACAATTGCTTCTCTAAGATCCCCATTGATGTATTTACATTTTGGCATTGAATTAACACTCACCTCAATGCCAGCGGCCAGCAAATTCCTACAACTTCGGCTTTATATATCTATATCTATATCTATATCTATCTATCTATCTATCTATCTATCTATATATATATTGTTTTTATTACGCCTTTTCTTTCTTATACATAATGTTTCCATTTAAATACAGTTTTATACACACCATAATTATAGCCAGTTTTCTCATAATACATACAATGTAATCTTCCCTTCTAATAACCCTATACAATTTAATCTATAATCAAGTATAATCCAGTGATAATATTACTTATTGCTTATACTGTATTATAAAGTATAAGAAAATATTAAGTATAATAAAATAAAGAAAATATTAGACTGAACCTGTCCATTTCGGAACAGTCTAATATTTTCTTTATTACATTTTCATCTATAGGTATATTTTTGGTTTTCCAATTTTGTGCGTACATACCGTAATTCTCGCTGCCATTATCACATGTAATATTAAATATGTAATTCTTTTATTATATTTTCCCAGTAATATACCTAGGAAGAACAATTCTGGTTTAAATCTATTTGTTGCATTGTCATTTCTTCTAACCACCTTTTTATCTTTAACCAATATTTTTTTCGCCATTGGACAGGTCCACCACATATGGTAATAGGAGCCTGGTAGCTGTTTACATTTCTAGCACTCTGGCGATATGTTTTGGAACATCTTTGCCATTCTTGCTGGTGGCAAATTCCATCTGTAGAACATTTTGAAAAGGTTTTCTTTATATGTTGTTGACATCGCTAGTTTGTAGTTTCTTTCCCAAAGTTTTTGCCAATTGTCTAATTCTATAGTATATCCAAAAAATTTTGGCCCATACTATCATAGTTTCTTTTACATGTTCTTCTTCAATTTTAAAATTCAATAGTAGCTTTTATAGATGTAGTCACACTTGCTGATGATAATTGATCAAGAGCGCTTGATTAGCAGCACTGGGCTGCTACTTCGCCTCTTCATACCTATAGAAGAAATAAGAGTGTTTTTAGTTTTTTGCGTTTCCATTTTGCCTTTCTTTTTGTAAAAAAAAATGATGACATGGATGTAATATGTCATGTGTTGTTGTTCATCTGACATATTTACCTACGTTTAAGAACTGCTAAGGACCAGATGGTTTTTACTATGTGATGGTAATGTAAAAATCATAGAATTTAAAGAAGGTATTCTTTCTTTTTCACATGTCTGATAACCCTTTGCAGGGCTCAGAATTTGTGACTGACCCAAGTCAACAAGTGAATTTCATGCATGAATGGATATTTGTACTTGGATCTCGGAAGTCAAATGATCCATAATTAATGTATTCTAGCATTGTGGCATGTTTGCTTTTCATTGTAATGTATACAGATAGTCCTCAACTTATGACATTAATGGAGCCTGCCTATTCATATCGGAAGTCAAGGACTACATTAAATTAAGCACCTAACTAACAACCTCCCTGTTCCTTTCTTTCCCCAATGCATTTGTTAAACAAATATGCGGTCATTAGGTAGAACATGGGGTGACTTGGGGATGGGAGAAGCCAAGGGAGGCCTATTGCGGGCACAGGCACTCCCAGGAGGCCTTCCCTCCTACACTCTAGAACCGTGATGGCGAACCTATGGCACGCGTGCCACAGGTGGCACGCGGAGCCATATTAGTGGGCATGCCAGCTCAGCTCTGGGGCGCATGCACTCGCCGGCCAGCTGATTTTCGGGCCTTCTGGGCCCACCAGAAGTAGGGAAACAGGCTGTTTCCTGCCTCTGGAGGGCCTGGAGGGGGGTGGGGAAGGCCCGTTTTTCTTTCTTACCTGGCTCCAGATCCTCTCTGTGTATCTGAGAACGGCGAAAACAGCCTTTCCCACTCCCTTGGAGGCCCTACGGAGGCTGAAAGGGCCCATTTCCCGACTCCCAGTGGGACAGGAAGTGACGTTTTTTCCAGTCCCCAGCCTCCAGAGACTCCTAGAGAGGCTCCTAGAGATTCCTAGAGAGGCTTCTAGATACTCTTAGAGAGGTTCTGGAGGCTGGGGACAGCAAAAAATGTCACTTCCTGTCCCACCGAGAGTTGGGAAATGGGCCCTTTTAGCCTCCGTAGGGCCTCCAAGGGAGTGGGAAAGGCTGTTTTCGCTGTTCCCAGATACACAGAGAGGATCTGGAGCCAGGTAAGAAAGAAAAACGGGCCTACCAGGCCATCATGTGCCAGGAGCGGGGGGGGGGTGGGGGTGGGTTGTGTGCGCATGCGCGTGGGCACCTGCGCGCGCGACCCTCCCCCGCCCCCCCCTCTCCTGGCATGCGATGGCAAAAAGGTTAGCCATCACTGCTCTAGAATATCCCATGCTCTGCCTCCTGCTCCTTGGTTTCCCCAAAGCCATGTGGGCCTCCTCCATACTCCATCCCATCACCATTCACTTACTTAAATTTTGATGAGCTCAGGAAGTCAGAGTAGATAACCTATCTCTTAGGCTTTTCCTTCCTAAAACAGGGTCTGTGTAGTCCTTAGGTCTAAGTCCGACCCACCAGGCATATTAGCCTCCTCTGTATCTTTTGAAGATCTCTGAAGCTTACCTTAGAGAAGGAGGGTAGGACGCACATCTGTGGGCTGCATGACTGTATCATAGAATCAGACGTTATTTTCAGTTGCCTGTTATTCATCCCTGGACCATGTGGTGGACTTGTGGAAGCAGCTGCCATTTTTCCATAAATGCCTCAGGACCAAAATGGCAGCTGCTTCTGTGTCATTGTCCTGCGGGAGAGGGACACTTTATTTCTACCTTAACATTGCAGACTGCATTAATGAATTGTAGGTGCACTGAAAACCCTAACCCTAACCCTCTGGATATCCGATGCTCTGCCTCCTGCCCCTTGGTTTCCACAAAGCCCATGGGCCTCCTCCATACTCCATCCCATCACCATTTGCTTACATACAATTTGGTGAGCTCAGGAAGTCAGAGTAGAGAAGGTTGCTCCCTCGCCCTCAATCCTTTCACCCCAGCCAACATAAACTACTATGATTTCTTCTTAGCTCCACCAGTGCCAGTTTTATGCTGCTGGCGCTAAGAAGATATCATAGTGGTTTACCCTGGCTGGGGAGTAAAGGATTGGCATGGAAACAAAAGTGATGGGTTTTTTTCTTTGCTCTACCAGCATAAGACTAGAGTAAGGTTATTGAGTGCAGGTCAGAATCTGATAATTCCAGTGAAACTCTGAACACGAGGCAACTGATAATCAGCTTTATTTTTCTCATCAGAAAGCAAAACTGGGTGACCTTTTTGTCTCCTACTTTAAACAGAGCAGGCAGAGAGAAAAGCAGGCGCGCACACTAATTTTTTTTCTTTTTATAGTCTACAGATATTGCTTGCATAGATTGTTATTGCTATAGAAACATTATTTCATATCCATTAGTTCACGCAAACTTCATGATTTTCTCAGCACTCTGAAAACAAAGGACCTTAGAAAGGAGGAAAATGATACATTTTCAGACATATAGCCCAGAGTTTTGTTAGGGGGTGCTATCTTGCATTAAGTTGCTGAGAATACACATTTTAAGTTACAAGCAAGGCTAACTTGGCAGCCTGGAAGCTTTATCTTTGCAGTTGGCACATTAGGTTACAATGGAGCTCAGCTCAGCAGGGAATCAAAAGTTGAGTTAGGTACACTCTGTGTATGCTCTAACCCTTTCAGTAGGGTAAAGCTAGCGCTGATAGAGCAAAGAAGAAATCCGATCTCTTTTGTTTCCATGGCAATCCTATCCTCCCCAGCCTGTGAATGATGACAGGGGAGTGGGGTTGGGGAGGAATGCATAGAAGCAAGTATATTGGCAAAGAAGGCCAATCTACTAGAGTCTGAGGCCTCTGAGGACTGACCGGCCAAGATAAGATGGGAGGGAAATAGGTGGGTGTTTCTGCTGCAGCATCTCTGCAGTTGGTCGTAAGGGTGAAGGACCGCGGGAGTGGTGGTGGAGAGGGGGGCTGCAATATTTCAACTTTGAAACGGATTTCTATTTAGCATTTTGGGGGAGGGTGTTGTAACTTCGAATATTCATTGAATGGCCTGTCGTACTTCAAGGAATACCTATACTACTTTTTTTCTCATCTTCTGCAACTGTTTTACAAACAATAAAACTTACACTTTCATTTGAATCTTACAGACAAAGATGATGCCAATATAAGCACACTGGACAACAAGCAACATTGAAAAGCAAAGCAAATTGAAGCAGAAATAAAAATATTTTCCATTTCCTTCAGAAAGCCACACAATTTCTGGCTATTGTGGGAAAAGCAGAGAGTTCAAATCACAAGAGGATCCACACTGGAGAACAGCCATATAAATACTCTGAATGTGGCAAAAGCTTTGGTCAGAATAGCTTCCTTGTGATTCATAGACGTATCCACACAGGAGACATGCCCTACATCTGCTCCCAATGTGGTATATGCTTTAGCAAGCATCACAACTTTTTGATACATCAGGAGACTCACACTAGGGAGAATCCATACGAGTGTCCAGATTGTGGGGAAAGTTTCATTGCAAATTCCGACCTGGTGATACACCAGAGAACTCACACAGGAGAAAAACCTTTTGAATGGCCTGATTGTGGGAAAAGTTTCAGTCTCAATTCCAGCCTGGTGAACCATCAGAGCACTCACACAGGAGAGAAACCCTTTGAATGTTCTGATTGTGGGAAACAATTCAGTCGGAATTCCCACCTAGTGATACATCAGAGAACTCACACAGGAGAGAAACCCTTTGAATGTCCTGATTGTGGGAAAAGTTTCAGTCTCAATTCTGACCTGGTGAACCACCAGAGGATTCACACAGGAGAGAAACCGTATGCGTGTCCAGTTTGTGGGAAAAGTTTCATTGCAAATTCCCACTTGGTGAAACACCAGAGGACTCACACAGGTGAGAAACCATATGAGTGTCCACAGTGTGGGAAAAGTTTCAGTCAGAATTCCAACCTGGTGAACCACCAGAAGACTCACACAGGAGAGAAACCCTTTGAATGTCCTGATTGTGGGAAACATTTCCGTCAGAAATCCTCCTTGGTGTTTCACCAGAGAACACACACAGGAGAAAAACCTTTTGAATGTCCTGATTGTGGGAAAAACTTCAGTCTCAATTCTAGCCTGCTGATACACCAGAGAACACATACAGGAGAGAAACCATACGAATGTCCAGATTGTGGGAAAAGTTTCAGTTGCCGTTCTAACCTGGTGAAACACCAGAGCACTCACATAGGAGAGAAACCATATGAGTATCCAGATTGTGGAGAAAGTTTCAGTTATCATTCTAGCCTTGTTATACATGAGAGTACTCACACAGAAGAAAAACCCTTTGAATGTCCTGATTGTGGGAAATGTTTCAGTCTCAGTTCCAGCCTGGTGAACCACCAGAAGACTCACGCAGGAGCGAAACCCTTTGAATGTTCTGATTGTGGGAAACTATTCAGTCGGAATTCCCACCTAGTGATACACAAGAGGACTCACACAGGAGAGAAACCCTTTGAATGTCCTGATTGTGGGAAAAGTTTCAGTCTCAATTCTGACCTGGTGAAGCACCAGAGGACACACACAGGAGAGAAACCGTATGAGTGTCCAGTTTGTGGGAAAAGTTTCATTGCAAATTCCCATCTGGTGAAACACCAGAGGACTCACACAGGAGAGAAACCATATGAGTGTCCACAGTGTGGGAAAAGTTTCAGTCAGAATTCCAACCTTGTGAATCACCTGAGGACTCATACAGGAGAGAAACCCTTTGAATGTCCTGATTGTAGGAAACGTTTCAGTCAGAAATCCTCCTTGATGTATCACCAGAGAACTCACACAGGAGAAAAACCTTTTGAATGTCCTGATTGTGGGAAAAACTTCAGTCTCAATTACAGCCTGCTGATACACCAGAGGACACATACAGGAGAGAAACCGTACGAGTGTCCAGATTGTGGGAAAAGTTTCAGTTATCGTTCTACCCTGGTGAAACATCAGAAGACTCACAGAGGAGAGAAACCATATGAGTGTCCAAATCAGGGGTGTCAAACTCAAGTTCATTGTGGGCCGCATCAGGGTTGTAGTTGATCTCAGGGGCAGCATGACCAAAGTGGTCGTGGCGGGGCTGGTGTTGCGTGGCCAGCTTGACATCTCTCATGTTGGGGGATGCCTGTGGTGGCCCAGGCAGGTCTGGGGGGATCCTTTGTCTCCAGCAGAGGAAGGTGAGACCAAGGTGAGCAGCAAACCCTTATCCTCCAGCAGAGCTTCACCATCCCTCTCGGACCACGCAAAGGACCCCCAGACAGCAGCGCAAGCGCCCGGACACAGCCCTCGGAGCGCAAGCGCCCAGCCTGGCCCTCAAGCACTGGGACCCCACAGCCCAGCCCCACTTCTTCAAGGACCCCAGCTGCGCTTACTTCCTCCTCAAGGCTCCTGCTGCTTTGGTCGTTCTCCTTGGGCACGTTGCTAATGGTGTATGCAGGAGGGCTAAGTGTGTGGGTCAGAGGGAGGCCCACTCCCTCTCCATGCGACGAGACCCAGCTTTGTAACCAAAGCATCCTCAGCAATAAAATGGGAGACCACCAGGAGAGGTCAGGAGGAGGGGACAAGGGGATTGCGAAAGGGCAGCAGGGCTGCTGGTGGCCAAGTGCTAAGGCAGGACATATCTAAAGCTGGCTGCAGTCCAGTCCTAATGGCTGCCACCTTGTGGCAGCTTAGCGCTCAGTCGGCCTGGATTGGGCCAAGTTGCCGCCAGCCAATCCTTTCATGTTTCCAGGGCAGACCCGCAGGCCAGATCTAATCACCTTTCAGGCCAGATCTGGCCTGCGGCTCTTGAGATTGACACCCCTGGTCCAGATTGTGGGAAAAGTTAACGTTATTTTTGTTTTGAATATATGTTGTATTGGTACATTTTTCTTTTAAAAACAAAAAAAAATCCATGTCTATAGTGTGTTGTTTGGGCACAATTTTAAGTAAAGATACAACAATAACCATAATCATACTAGTAATCTTAACAAACATCAATATTAATCACAGAGGAATAATACAATTAGTTTATATATCTTGCAAAATTTTCAATATAAATTTTTATTATCTTTTAAAATTCTGTTTAGTTTGTAACCTGTTTCTGTTAGTTAACCAATGGTATAATAAATCACATGTTAAAAATATTCTGTTTCTTCCTTTTCTTTTATCTTAAGTGTCAATCTATCCATCTCAGCACATTTAATATTTTTTTATTACACTTTCATCTGTCAGGACCTCATCATTTTTCCAATGTTGTGCAAACACTATTCTTGTTGCCGTTACTACATGAAAAATTAAGTATGTATTCCCTTTATTATACTGTTCTGGTAATATACCCAGCAGGAATATTTCTGGTTTCAAATTTATATGTTGCTTTATCTTTTTTTCTAACCAAGTATGTATTTTTGTTCAATATTTTTTTGCCTTTGGGCATGTCCACCACATGATAATATGAACCTGGTATCTGATTACACTTCCAATATTTAGTTGATAAATTTTCAAACATCCTTGCTAACCTCTCTGGTGGTAAGTGCCACCTATAAAACATTTTGTATACGTTTTCCTTATAAGCCGTTGACATTGTTAGTTTATAATTTCTATCCCACAATTTCTGCCATTTATCTAATTCTATTGAATAACCAAAGTTTTTAGCCCATCTTATCATTGTTTCTTTCACTTGCTCTTCTTCCATTTTAATACCCAGTAAGTAGCTATACATTTTTAAAATTAATTTTTCATCTGTCCCTAGTAGTCTAGTTCTGTTGGTTCTTTATAGAAACCATACATTTTTACATCTTCCTCATATCTTAATTGTAATTGCACATGTGGCCCCCATGCCTAGTCAGTTCTTATTTAGATTTAAGTTCCCCTTTATCTTTCAAAATGTCCTTATACCTTACAATTTTTTCCATATTAATCACATTCGGATGTATCAGTGCCTCCATCGTGGAGAGCCAGACTGGTATTTTCATGTAATGTCTTTCTTTAATTTCCCCTCATACTAACAATAATGCATTAATAACAACATGTCTTTGAAAATATCCATGTATTTTCTTTTTCCCATAGCATAGAAAGGCATGCCACCCCAGTTTGAGATCATGTCCCTCCAAAGTTAATAGTCTCTTATGTCTCAGATTTACCCATTCTTTCATCCAGACACGTGCAGAAGCCTGGTAATATAGCTCCCAATCTGGCAACCAAAGCCCACTTTAAGTTTAGTATCTTGTAGCAGTTTCAATCTTATTCTTGCTTTTTTTCCTTGCCAGATATATTTTAATATTATTTTATTTAGTTCTTCAACTAATGTTTTTTCTAATTTTATCGGGAATGTTGGAAATAAGAATAACAGTCTCTGCAAAATGTTCATTTTTATTGTGGCTATCCTTCCTATCAACTATAGCTGCAGGTTTTTCCATTTCTCCAAGTCTAATTTGATTTGTTATAACTGTTTCATATGGTTATCTTCTTTAATAGTTGTGAATCTTGCTGTTAGCTGAATTCCTAAGTATTTAACTTTCTTAACTATCTGAATATCTACCTTCTCCAGCAACTTTTTTTTTTGTTTCTCTGTAACATTTTTAACCAGTATTTTAGTTTTCTCTATTCATTTTCAGTCCTACAACTTCACCATACTCTGCTAGCATTTTTATTAACTTGGATCCAGATTCTTATGGTTCTTCTAAAATAAATACCAGCTCATCTGCAAATGCCTGTAGCTTATACTCTTCTGTTTTTATTTCCATTCCTTTATTTCTTGTCTAATATTTCTGTTTAATACTTCCAGTGTTAATATAAATAATAGGGGGGACAGCGGACATCATTGTCTTGTCCCTTATGTTAAAATTCTCTGTCATGTCCCCATTAACTATCACTTTTGCACTTTGTTTGGAATATATTGCCTCAATCATGTTAATGAATTTCTCCCCAAAGTCCATATATTTTAATTGTAATAACATAAATTGACAATTTACATTATCAAATGCTTTCTGTGCATCTAAGAATATAAACACCATTTGTTTTTCAGGATGCATTTCATAATACTCCAACGTGTTCAAAATAATTCTCATAGTATTCTTAACTTGCCTTTTAGGTAAAACTCCATTCTGGTCTGAATGTATAAATTCATTCAAGAATCTTTTTAATATCTGCAATTATTGAAGCATATATCTTGTAGTCGGCATTTAGTAGTGATATTGGCCTGTAGTTTTTTATCTGCATTAATTCTGATTTTTCTTTCGATATTAGAGTGATATTCGCTTCCAGCCATGTATTTGGTATTTTGGTCTCGTAATAGTACTTCATTATAAACTTCCAACATTGGGAAACCTAAAGTATCTTGTAGACATTTATAAAGTTCTGCCAGTAGTCCATCTGGTCCTGGTGTTTTATTATTTTTTTGTCTCTTGATCGCCTCTGTTAATTCCATCATTATCTTTTCATTTAGTATAGTCTTCACTGTTTCAGGCACTTTGGGTAATTCAGCTTTCTGCAAGTATTGTTTTATTTTTTCTTCTGACACCTTCTCTTGATTATATAGTTTTTCATAGTAGTTCTGGATTATTTTCATTTTGTTTCATTTTGGTGGTGGAGGATTCCCTTTTCATCTAACAAACTGTGTATCAATTTCTTCTCTCTATGCTAACCATCTTCCTGGCTTTTTGGCATTTGCAAAGTAGTTTTGTTTTGCTCTTTTAATCTTTTGTGCTAATACTTCTGCTTCCATTAAATTGAGTTTGTGTTTTATCAGTTCCATTTGTTCTTTTAAATTTCTTTTTTGTGGTTCTTTCTGTAACTCTGTTTCCAGTCTTTTATATTCTTCTGCTAGTCTCTTTTGTGTTTGCGTTTTTTTCTTATTCTTTTTTGCTGTATAGGTGATCACTAATCCCCAAGTATATGCTTTTGCTGTATGCCATACATTTTGTACTGAAGTCTCTTTTTTTTCTCTTTGAAAAAGAAATGAATTTCCTTCTGCATTATTTGTATAAATTTTTGTGCTAATACTTCTGTTTCCATTAAATTGAGTTTGTGTTTTATCAGTTCCATATGTTCTTTTAATATCACTTGGTTCAACATCCATCTCGCTTTTTTCCTTTGACCTTTCCATTTTATTTTTATTGGATTATTATCTGCCCATACATTTGTTTCAATTTTTATCTCTTCTCCATTTGTTCTTAATTCCGATGTCATCCATATCATATCTATTCTTGACCATGATTGACGTTTATCTGAGTAGAATGTAATGTTCTTCTCTAAATTCATTTCGTTCCATGCATCTTGAAGTGATAGTTCTGTCATTTTAAAGAAAGTTCTTGGCAGTGTTTTCTGTGCTTTTTTACCTATTTTTCTGTTTCTATAATTCAACTTTACATCCACTATTGCATTGAAGTCCCCTAACAAAAAGTTACAGTTATTGTTCTAGCCTTGTTATACACCAGAGGTCTCACATAGGGGAGAAACCCTTTGAATATCCTGATTGTGGGAAATCTTTGAGTCAAAATTCCTACATGGTAATACACCAGAGAACTCACACAGAAGAGAAACCATATGAGACCCGAATTGTGGGGGAAAAAATCATTATTGGGTCTAACCTTATAAATCATGTACTTTTACACACAGGGGAGAAACCTTTGAAATGTTCAGCCTATGAACAATGCTTTATGCATAAATCATCTCTCATTGCTCAGAAGAAAGTTCACATGAGGCAAACATGGAACAGTTTAGAGAAAGCTTGAAATTCATTTCTGATCTCCCATTCAGAGTATAGAGGAGAAATTGATTATTTAAATTCTGGCTTTTTTTAGTCACCAGATCTCAGGATTAGACCTGTAGGTGGAGAGAGAAAAAATGGAAAATATTAATTTGATAAAGGCTAACTACCTGTTTCTGATTATCAGCAGATGTTTCTGGATGTTTACATTTGCAGAAATTGTGGAATTTCTGCAAACAGGCTTTTGGGTGGTATTTTTTGTATATGTGTGTATGGAATTCCCACATGTGGAATTTTAGCCTTCTATCTTGGTGAACTCCAGATTTTCAACCTCACAATTTTCCAGCCAACATACAATTAGTCCTCAAGATATAACTGTCATGGGGCCTACCAATTATGGTTACACCTTGCAACAGCCGTTAAGTGAGACTGCTTTGCTTAATTGTGCCCCATCCCCCCGGTCTCTCTAATGCAGTCGTTAAATGAATGTACAAGTTATTAAGTGGAACACTGGCTACCTCAGAGTTGGGGGAAGGTCTTAGAGGCCTAGCGCAGGCCCAGGCTTTCCTTCCAAAGGCTTCCCATAACCATCTCTTAGGCCTCTCCTTCCTAAAACAGGGTCCCTGTAGTCCTTAGGTCTAAGTCCGACCCACAGGCATCATAGCCGCCTCCTCTGTGTTTTTTGAAGATCTCTGAACCTTATGTTGGGGAAGAAGGGTAGGACTGTATGACTATTTCATG